CGCACCAAATACACCAAGCAAAAAACGGGAAGCGGTTACCTCAAGCCTGAGGATACCACGCAGTTGATGTATGATCTGCCCGGCACCACGTCCAGTTTTGACTATTGCGTGCTCGACACGGACTTTATGTTTTCGTATGAAACGAGCCTGCAGGAGAAGGTGAACGGCAAGCACATTTATCGGTCGTTCTGGAACCGGGCACCCATTGTGCCCCCGCTAATGGAAGCCTTTGCCATGGACATCTCGCGGCCCATCGTTTACCTCTGGTCGTTTTCCCACAAGGAGTTTGAGCTGATGTTGGATCAGGAGCGCTCTGTGCTCAACGCACTCGCGGTTCACAACGCGAACATCCAGCACATCAACATCATGATCTTCCCCAAGGGTGTCACAAGCTTGATCAGCACGTCCAGGAAAAGCGACTGGTCGTGTCAGCAATACTTGGCCGCGGTGGAGGCCAACCTCAACAAAAAGCGCCGCCTTGCATGCGACCAGGCCTCGGAGTTGCCCAACTACACCGTGCGCAAGGAATTGCCCAAGTAAGGACACACACACACAGAGAGAGACTGAAAAGAGAAACAAGACGAAAAAAACAAAAACAGAGGAATGGAAAATGGGGGCACACTTGGATGGCAGAGTGTGCAGGCTGTTTACTTATTAAAGCACGCTTGCATGTGTGTTTGCGTGTGCACGTGATTTTTAGGTATCGGATCTACCTCATGGATCCGGATTACTTCAGAAAACCCAAGCTCTTGGACGTGGAGACATGCGCACCCGAATTTGAGAGCAAGAAGTAAAAACGTCACTACCTTATGCCTCATGATTTATGTTATAATTTGTTGCTGTACTTGCCTTATAATGCCCTAGGAGTGGCTTTTCACCAGTCACTACTGCCCTTGCCACTTGTGACCTGCTTTTGCGTTCGGAACCTGTTGCCCATAAAGGAAGGATCGTCACGCATCAATTACATGATATTACCATTACAATTATGCGAACGGTTGCTTTTCTTGGCGTTTATCGACACTTGATCCTTTAACACTCACTTGAGAAAGCTTCGGATGGCACACCTGAGACAATTGGAAAGAAGGCGCCGCCGTTTTTTGCTGTTGATAACCCCGTTGTTGATGGAAGGCCACTGCCTGCTTGAAGCATGTAAAAACGATTGCTGACTGAGAGTTGGAATTTTTTTTTTTTTTTTTGTTCATTTCTGTTAGCGTCAAATCCGTGCTTCCACGCATTTGAACACTCCCACTGCTTTCGCACACACTCAGCATCGGTCGCTATGGGTCTTCCTATTGGTATTCCATAGCTACGACGACCTCACACATTGACACCTACTTTTGGACCCCCTGGGCTTGATCCTCCTCGTGGCAGTCACATGAGTAAACACCGCGTGTGACGCGGTCCCCACGATGCCTGGGCAGCTGCCCTGGGGCAATAAGCTTGTGGCTACTGTTGTTTCCCTTTGTTGTGACACCTGCGGTCGGGCACGAGTTGCACTTTCCCTATCCTCGGGATTGAGCGACTCTACAGCTATTCTAACGGTGCACCTGGTCTGGTCACTGTGAATGCTTGCCGACCGCAGGTACGTCAAGCCCTCTGCCATTCTGTCTTCCCCTTGCTCTCCTGTGTGCTCTGCTCTCTTGTGACTTTCCCTATCCTCGGGATTGAGCGACTCTACAGCTATTCTAACGGTGCACCTGGTCTGGTCACTGTGAATGCTTGCCGACCGCAGCTGGTTCAATTGACCTCAAGACACCACCAAAGCTTTCGCTCCGCTCCGACGGACGTCTCTCAAACCTCTCTCAAAACGCTTCCTCAAACCTACGCGCTTCCTCGCAACCCAAAGACGGCCTCCAGACGTGCTGGAGCCTGACATGGTAGCGATTGAAAACTTCGATCGACCGACCGCCCTTCTTCAATCTTTGCGCTGGATAGCATGTCCTCGCGCACCCGTTCGCGAACTGGGCCCCCTGGC